CATTACAAGCTCATCGATTGTTAAGTAGAGGTTGTGAGGGTTACTTGGCTACTGTTGTTGATAAGGAATTTGATGAATTGCAACTTCAAGACATTAATGTGGTGTGAGATTTCCCTGATGTATTTCCAGATGAATTGTCTGAATTACCACCTAATAGGGAAGTGGAATTTTCTATTGATTTGGTTCCTGGAACAGCTCCAATCTCTAAGGCTCCATATAGGATGGCCCCTACAGAACTCAAGGAGCTAAAGGAGCAATTGCAAGAGCTGTTGGATAAAGGTTTTATAAGGCCGAGTGTGTCACCTTGGGGTGCTCCTGTGTTATTTGTGAAGAAAAAGGATGGAACCATGAGACTCTGTATTGACTATAGAGAGTTGAACAAGGTGACAGTACGTAACAGGTATCCTTTGCCTAGAATTGATGATCTTTTTGATCAGCTGGTGGGAGCTCAAGTTTTCTCTAAAATTGACTTGAGATCTGGATACCATCAATTGAGAGTCAAGGGAGAGGATATTCCTAAATCAGCCTTCAGAACCCGCTATGAGCATTATGAATTTCTGGTGATGCCATTTGGGTTAACTAATGCTCCTGCAGCATTCATGGATTTAATGAATAGGGTGTTTAAGCCTTAGATAAATTTGTTGTGGTGTTCATTGATGATATTTTGGTGTACTCTCGAAGTATAGCAGAACATGAAGAACATTTACGGCTAGTTTTACAAGTTCTGATGGAGAAAAAGCTTTATGCAAAGCTGAAGAAATGTGAGTTCTGGTTGAATAGTGTTGCATTTTTAGGACATGTGGTGTCTAAGGATGGAATTTCAGTAGATCCGGAAAAGGTTAAAGCAGTGGTAGAATGGAGTAGACCTACTAATGTGACTGAAGTTCGGAGCTTCTTGGGCTTAGCTGGGTATTATAGAAGATATGTGGAGGGATTTTCTCGTATTGCAGTTCCATTAACTCGATTAACGCAAAAGGGTGTGAAGTTTGAGTGGACAGATGAATGTGAACAAAGTTATCAAGAGTTGAAGAGTAGATTGGTCTCAGCACCTATTCTGACCATTCCTGATGATAGTGGTGGTTTTACAATTTTCAGTGATGCTTCAATGAAAGGGTTGGGTTGTGTTTTGATGCAACATTGCAAGGTGGTAGCTTATGCCTCAAGACAATTGAAACCATATGAGAGGAATTATCCAACTCATGATCTCGAACTAGCAGCAGTTGGTTTTGCTCTTAAAATTTGGAGACATTATTTATATGGTGAGAGGTGTGAGATATTTACTGATCATAAAAGTTTAAAATATATTTTCACACAAAAGGAGCTGAATATGAGACAGAGGAGATGGTTGGAGTTACTAAAGGATTATGATTTGGTAATCAATTACCATCCTGGGAAAGCTAATGTGGTAGCTGACGCATTGAGTAGGAAGAACCATAGTATTCTAGCTGTTTTAATTACTTCTCAAAGGTATATCTTGGAAGATTTTGATTAAGATGGATGTTAGAGTATATAGGCATGACTTAGATGCACTTTTGGCTAGTTTGCAAGTCCAGTCGACCTTGATCGAGAAGATAAAGACTGCCCAGTTGGATGATCCATTTCTGCAGCAAATGAGACAAAAGGTGGAGTCCAATGATCCCAAATTGGAATCTTTTAGGATTCATGAAGATGGTTCTATTAGGCACGGTGATCGAATTTGTGTTCCTAATGATTCAGAGTTAAAGGAGGTAATTATGAAAGAAGCTCACAATACTGGGTATACGGTTCATCCTGGAAGTACTGAAATGTACCGAGATTTGCGAGGAACCTTCTAGTGGAATAAAATGAAAAGGGAAATAGCCAATTTTGTGGCTCAGTGTTTGACATGCCAACAGGTTAAGATTGAGCATCAAAGACCAGCTGGCAAGTTGCAGCCACTTCCTATTCCAAAGTGGAAGTGGGAACATATAACCATGGACTTTGTCACTGGTTTGCCTGCAACAAAAAATGGAAATGATTCTATTTGGGTCATTGTTGATAGGTTAACCAAGTCT